TTCTTCCTCTTCTCAGTCCACCATCTTCCTCTCACCCTCTCGCTACCTGACTTCACTGCATCAGCAGACTACGAGAGAGCGGGATTGGTGACATTTGGTCCAGACTCGACATTGGGCTTCAGACATTTTGACGAGGGACTATTTGGGACTTGTAACGAAGACTTGGTGTTGATGACATTCCCATCTCCCCCCTCTTCTTCGTCTGATTCCCTCCTTTTCGTCTGTGCATGATCTGGACCTGGCGCATTCTTCCTGTGTGTAGCTCCAGGCCCCCTTCACACCTTGTGACGAGGATGATGTATGTTTGGTCTGCATTGCGACATTGATTGGGATAGTTATTGGTATTCTAGTATTCCGCTACGCTGTCTTGTACTACATAAGAGAGGTCAGTCCCGGTCAGGTCAGGACTTGTAGGCTTGTAGCTAATTCTTCCACTGCGCTATAAAGCACCATTTTTGTATGTATCAGGATGTACACTGCTTGTTGAGATTTCACTAGCACTGCATTGCCCATTTAGTCTTTTTCATCACATTGCGGATCCTTGGTTATATATGTACATCGCCCAACTGGGCATGTAACAGATAGTGAGAGGGAATGACAGTGTGGTCACGGCAGCCAGGTCATGCATGACCAAAAACAGAGGAGGGAGAGCGAAAAAAACAGCCAACATCACCTTTACAACATATAACACAAACTTCTCAAGCTCCATGCAACGCAACAAAAAATGGGCTCCACAAACAACCATTACTGGATGCCCCTCCACATCTTCACCTCCGCGATAACTGCAATGAACACAAAATGCACCAGCAAAGCATGCAGATGCCACCAGGCCTGACAACACATCAGAACAAGCATCATGAACAAATTTTCTGGAAAAGAGTTCGACCTGCTATGATCCTACTCCATCCATAGTGCACAACTCAAAGTGCATGAGATGCAAGACTTGCTGAAATTCAAAGAAGAGATGGAGAGAGAGAAAGAGTTCATTAGAAAGGAAAGAATCAAAGAGGAAGAAGAGTTACACAAGTGACACCAATGTCCTCCTTCCTCCTCATCTCTCTTCTTCTCCGTTACTCCTCTTCCTAATAATCAATCAAATACAACAGCAAACGAATGACTGACCAGGAATCATGTCCAACTATTCCCCCTTACTGCCAGTAACTCAAGAGACCACCTTTCAGCCCTAACCTCCTCCCCTCTTCGTAGCACCTAGGACTATGACGGAACATCCATGCTCATCAGAGATGTTCAAAGGACAACGCAAACACCACTATGCCAGTGCCATTATATGAGAGAGAGGGGGCGACTTTTTCGTCTTTCTTCCTGTCGTCCATATCCATCTCTTCATCTTCTCCTTCTGTGTGTGTGTGTGTGTGTGTGTGTGTGTGTGTGTGTGTGTGTGTGTGTGTGTGTGTGTGTGTGTGTG